AAGCACGTTTCCCACTCCGTGTCCCGGGTCGTGCAAGGAGCTTCGAGCCATTAAAGCCCAAACCATAAAGTGAGAGCTGTGCACTGCCGGGTTTCGTGCGTTTACATGAGCGACCGTCAAAATTAGCGTTGATTACTGTAGCTTTAGTAAGGGACGGACATCAGTTTATGGTTTGGTGGCTTGTGATCTGCAGAACGATACGGGACACGCAGACAACGATAACCCCAACATGATGAGAAATATATGCGATGTAGGGACTTAGTGTGAAATTAGCGGAAGAGCGTTTTATCCTGCAGAACGATATGGGACTTGCAGAAAACGATAACCCCAACATCCATGTCCCTATGTCCTTCAGCTAAACAAGTAATATTGACCGCTGCTCACATGAACGACATGAAGCCTAAACGTCTCACAGGTTCATGGGTTGAGGGATATCAGCTTTGAGGGTCGCCCAGTTCCGCTGGGTGTTAACAGATTCCAAGTTCTTCCGTTGGGGTTTTGATAGGATACAGAAGGCAGCCAGATGATGGGAGCAAAGTGGCCAGTGCATGGCCTAGGTTCAGCTTTAGGGTGTGAGGCGGAGTTGGGGTTTTGGAACTTAGGGCTTTCATGTTTTCAGCAGAGGGCTCCGCTCGTCGACTGTTTGGCAGTAGGGGTGCTGCGTTCCATTCGTCCAGTACATACAGCGCTCGATCAAAACCTAAGCCTTCAACTGCAAGCCCAGCCCTAAACCCAAAATGCTAAAGTGTTTGTGCACCGTGCATGGGTTTATGGACTGTTCGCTGTCGGACATAATCTATGTCATAACTGTGCTTAGAACCCACTCATGAGCCCCTTAAGTGCCCTAATAAGGTTATCATTGGGTTATAAGTACAGTTATTATTGGGTTCATAAGTACTATAAACCTCCAAGTAAGCTCCCGAAGGCATCTGTGAGACCAACTTCCGGCCGGCGTTGGCGGGCACGGGCTGGGGAGCCAAGAGTTTTTCTTCTTTCTGGGTCATGTGTGCAGTAGATTTGTGTTCAGATGCCTGTGTCCTTGAGCCTTCCACAACCCTTCAAGTTCTACAGCAAACCTTGAACCTCGTTGCCAAGATTCCGGCCCAACAACCTATATCTACATATTGCTAAGCGCCTGGTGGGGTTGGGTTCAGAGGGGCTCATTAAACCCCAAGTTCAGGAATTAGAAACCTTAGAAAGCACGTTGAGGATGAAACGCCCTTTCCTGCTGTTTTTTTCAGCCTTCTTAAGAACCGAGTCAGGCTGAACTCTTCGATCGTGGGTCGGCCCCCCCCTAGAAAGCCACAAAGGTTCGAATTGAGCCTAGACACCCCACCCCCAAGTTCTCCTCTTCCCGGAACCTCCGAACATCCAAGCTCCAAGAAAGCGTCCCACCATTCCCAGGGGCCACATGGAAGGATGCCGGGACTACCAAGGTGCGACCACAGGGGCTTTTTGCCTTCCACATGTTCCCCCGAGTTTTTTTGTTTTTTCTTTACATCGTGGCTCTATGTTGTGTTTCGGCCCATTATGTGTTTTCATTTTGCTCGGTTCAGGTCATCTAGGCTCCTTGGAACTTGTGGGAAGTTGCCTTTGGCTTGGAGAGAGCATCGCAGCGCCACCGATGTGCCGTCCTGCAATCCGGCTTTGGACCCAAGCTTCGGGTTTGTTTGTCCCTGGCCCTAAAAAGCTCTTGAGCCTCGCAGCCCATTGCCACTCCGCAGTTCCGAGACGTGTCCAAGCCTCGTTCCCCACAGCCCATCAGTGTTGGGGGGGGTTCAGAGGCCTGAAAACGTTGAGAGGTTTTGGGGGGTTATTGCAGTCGTTTTTTTTTTTTGGCTTCGCGGCTGTGAGCAGGGCACGCCGCTCTATGGCTTCGGCTTCTACTTTGCCGAGCGCATCACCAAGGTGCGCGGCGGTTCAAGCTTGCTTTGCATCACTGCGGAAACAGGGTCTTTGAAGCCCTGCAACCAGCAACCTTGCAACCCAACACAATCCCGGAGCAAACCCCAAAGTCTCGAAAACACAAAAGTTCTGCGCGCGTTCAGGAGGGGACAGGCTTCGGGATGTTTGGGGATTTAGGGTTTCAGGGTTGACGGGTGTCATCGCTTCAGGGGCACAGGGGTTCAGGTTTGTCAGCATGTGCATCGTCTTCTGCTCAGGTATGGTCGTCGGTCGTCGGTCGTCATGGTCGTGGTCGTTTAGAAGCATGTTCTTGTCACATTCAGGGGTCGCGTGTTCAATGCCGAGGTAAAACGTACATTTTGCACGGGCTCACGGTTTTGGCAAATGTGCCGAAGGTACTAGAAGTTCAGTCAGACTTTTCGCGAAAATGCATTGTTGCTCGGATCTTGATACTGTTTGTTTTGCAGGTTTTTTGACAGTTTCAAGGACATTTTTTGTCTGAAATGATGCTCCGGCCACAGCCGGGCGCTTTTCGCGCAGTTTGCTTGTTGCAGCCCGGGGCGTATTTGGCGTAGTCGTGCTCTGGTCGCAGTGCGCGAGTAATGCACGTTTTGCAACTTCAACCTCGCTCATTGCTGGTTCTCTTCGGGTCGTAAGCGTATTCCGCAGCTGCCACAGCACGGGGGCGATGCTCCAGCAAGGCTTCCCAAGGGAGCTGAGCAACTGACTGATCCCGCCATGTTATCCGGCCGGCTGCTGTTGCGCATCCTCTTGTTTGTCGTGAGGGTTGCGGTGTCGGGTCGTTGTCGCTGTTCCAGTTCGTAGGCAATGACTCTCCAGACTTAAACCTGTGGTACTGTCTTTTTTGAGCTTGCCCCATTGCCTCAGGCAGACGAGTATTCTCAGCCCCTGCCGGCATCTTGTCTGAGTTCCAGAGGGCCTCGAGTTCCGAGTGTATTAAGTTGAGGGAACGCCTCCTGCGAGGGGCACGGGGGGGTAGGACTTGGGGGGGAGGGGGACACGGAGGACAAGGGATGCGCAGGACGCGAGGGAGGGCGATACATGGGCAGCGGTGAGACATGCTGTAGGGGCACACGAAGGATGTGAGGGACGCGGGGGATGCGAATGATGAGGGGGACGTGGGGGGACGCAATGATGCGAGGGACTGCACTGGGCCATGCCAACATGCGGATGCACTGGCAACACACGTGATTCTGATGGGCCATGCATGCAGCCGCGACATGTAAGCGCTGGAAGCTTTCAAGTGCCTATCTCGGTCCATGGATGCTGGGCCAGTTCATCTTCCGCGTTTGGGGCTTTGGGTTGGGACACGTGGCCTTAAGCTTTAAGCCCTTGTCCCAAACCGCAGGAAGGCGACGAGCATGAGGATCTGTACACTGTTTTGGTCTGCCGCGTGGTGGGTGGTCGCACCAAGGCTGGGCGCTTCATTGCAGGGTGTGTGTGCTTGGTCTCTTTCGGGTCCGCAGCTGACGTTTGGAAAGTTGGGCCTCCCTTTTTTTCTTGCCGATTTCGCCGACCGACCTCCAGAAGGGCAAGGGGCCCACAGCAACCCAACTACCTGTAACGATTACTCACAGGTCTCGCAGCCTCGCGTGTCTAGCCCAAGATCTGCCAAGATCCGAGTGAAGCGAGGAGCATACGGCACTCCTTTAGGATTCCTGTGTGCTCTGCGGTCTTGAGCCAGCTTTTGTCGCGTGGGCTGTGCCTGTGGACCGTACCCTTGCCGCAAAAGCCTTCTTAAGTAGCAAAGGAGCGGTCCGAAGAGCCTTCAGCCCCTCAGCCCTGAAACATCCTGAAGTCCTTCCCCTGCAACCCTGTTCCCCATCGTCACATCTGGAGCTCTTGGGTTTTTTGGGCTTTTTCTTTGGAGCCTTCCACTGGCCTCTCCCATGTCTGATATTTCTTCCGATCTCTTGTTCTCTTCGAGGTGGTGACGAACAACGACATCGACGTGGCGCCTCTTTGAGAGTTGGCTCCGGCTTGGCTCCGGCTTGGCTCCAGCTTGGCTCCGGCTTTGGGGATCGGGGATCTTGGGGTGTCCGCGTCTGGTCGTGTGGTGCGGCTTTGTTTGGTCGCATTTTCCGGGTTTTGACAAGCCAGGAATGAGGCTTCGGGGTTGGTCTTAGGATGTAATCGGCGCTCATTGCCCATCTGGGCACGCTTCTGCAAGTGCTTTGATTGCGGCTCCGGCTGCGAGAGCCTGGGCCTTGCAAATCACAGATCCAGCACGGTGAATCCTGCACCCTCAGCTCCCGCAAGGACGGGCTTCGAGGTTCTGTATTCGATGGGCCGTACCATTCGGTCTTCGGTGACCGCGTGACGACACTGGGGAAGCCTTATCGACTCTGGCCGGCAAGAAAGAGGGTAAGGTCCCTCAAAGTCTTTTGATTTGGGTGCGTCTACGCATCGCTGAATTGTTGCATAATCATTGTACGCGCAGGTGCAGACAGACGGACACACACCCACTCACATGCACTGGCAAGTTCCCATAGCCTAGCAAATTCAGTCTGAAAAACCCTGAAGGCCCGTATTCAAAATCCCTGAACCTGAAGACCCTAAAGTTAAAGTCTGAACCCTCAACCACAGAGCCCGGAGTGCCGCGAGCCTTGCTGCGGTGGGCAGAGCAGCCGATCCCTGCAGCGCTTTTCGGCTCCCTCAGAGTGCCCTCGCGTGCATTGCGGCCGTTCAAAAACGTGCGCCCCGGAAGCAGAAGTGTGCGGCCTCGCTCCTTCTTGCGTTTTTTTTTGGATTTTTATTTTTATGTATACAGTTTTTTGTTTTCATATATATATATATATATTTATATAGTTTTTTTGCTCTCATCCTTTGTGGGCCTAGGACCTAAGGGCCTGCAGTGGCCAGGGTGTGTTTTTCGGATCTTGGTCTTTGGGATTTGGGGATCAGTAAGAGTTTCGAGTCTTTGTATTTCTTTGTCATGCATGCCTTAAAAGAGGCTGATGCCTTTACTCCTAAACCCTCAACACCCCTCAATCCCGCAGTACTCTACTGTGAAATACCCCCTCCCCTCTTGCTTAAACGGCGCCCGGGCCAAACTTGCTTTAATGCTGGAGGCGATGTCGAAGGGGGAACTGCAGTGCGGGGTAGGATTTGTAATGAGAAAGAGTGATCGAAGCCAACCCATCCGTACTTTGGGCTTTGGGCTTTCATCACTGCTGATCTGAAGGCAGAACGCACGACAGATGCCGTAGCAATTCGAAACCGGCATTGGTTTGGGGCCGCAATACCTGAACGACCAATTCACAACTGGAACGTTTTGGTTCTCCCTTGGGGAAGCGCACGCACGAAGGAGCTCTTGAAATCCTGAATCCAGAAGCTTGAGACCCTCGGCTCCTTATGTTTCAAGGCTCCCCCACCTCCACTACTGCAATGCCACCCCCTTATCCAGAACCCTAAACCCTAAACCCTAAACCCTAAACCCTGAACCCTGAACCCTGAACCCTGAACCCTGAACCCTAAACCCTGAACCCTGAACCCGAAACCCTAAACCCTAAACCCTAAACCCGAAACCCTAAACCCTAAACCCTAAACCCTAAACCCTAAGCCGTGCCACCCGCGGTTCTCCGACATTTGTCCCGGCGTCAGGGAGGGATTAGGGTTCCGTGTTTAGGGTATAGGGTTTAGGGTTTAGGGATACTACCTCCCCTATACGGGTGTGGGGAGGTTGGTAAGCAGGGAGGGGGATCGCTTGCGCGCCCCCTTCTGCCCTGCATCCCGAAGCCCTAAAACCCCCCCCCCCCCCCCCCCCGCAGCACCGAGTTTAGGGCATGCCGGCATGCCCCCAATATCATGATTAGGGTTTAGGGTTTAGGGTTTAGGGTTTAGGGTTTAGGATTTAGGGTTTAGGGTTTAGGGTTTAGGGTTTAGGGCATTCAGGTGCCTGCGATGTCTGTTCTTTGCCTGGCCGCTCGGCAGCTCAAGCCCGCTCCAGGGGACTCCGAGATCGGGTTTAGGGGTATTTCTACTCTTTGCTTAAGAAACCCCCCCAACCACAAACAAAGAATCCCTATGTTGCCCTTGTCAGGATTAGTGTTATATATATATATATATATAAACTTTTTTTTTGGGGATTCTTAAGCAAATAGTAGATTGGGGTCTTGAAGGACCGGGGTTAAGAATTTGGATTCAGGGCCCCTTCGCGTCAAGGTTTGCTCTGCGCATGAGTCGAGGACATTCGAGGACATGGCTTAGGGTTGGCAGGTTTAGCGTGTTATTGGCTTTGGGGGTTTAGGAACATTCTGCACTAGTAGTTTAGGACACATGTAGCCGCCTAGGTTTTTAGGCTAGGGCTATTCAAAGCATCAGTGGTTCAACGGTTCATGGTGTCAACAGCTTGTAGGGTTTACGGTCGAGGGGTAGCATGAGCAACCATCGTAATACAACAAATAATGGATCGCAGAACCAGTTGGTTCGCAACTGGTGCTCAGTCGCCAATCCTCGCATTTCAGGACTGCTTGACAACAGTCAGTGTTCCCGCCCAAAGCCCCAACCCCGAAACCGAAACCCGACAACACTCTTGCCTTGAAGGCCCCAAAGTCACTAAGGCCCTAATCTGAATCACTAGCTCAGGTGAACCTGGCAAGCGCTATCCACATCTTCCGCGGCTGGGAGCATCGCAGTCACCTGGGCTGTACAGCATGCCCGGATATGCCCGGAATTCTTGGTGTGTACGTTTCTGAGCTTTACGTAGAGGATGAGAATTTCAGGCTCCGCGTTTAGGGGCAACCTCCATGCTTCCCACATATTCCCAACACGACTTAATTGCACTGCTAAACTCAAGAAGTCCTTGTCCTTGTTTCCTGGGGGTGGACGCGTCGGAACCGGCTGGTCTGCGGTACCATCTTAGAGTAGAGACAAAACCCGCCAAAATGCACCAGCTGTCAGCAATTGTCTTCGACTTTGCTTGCCGTTGCACGCAGCCCCAAAAGCTCGCAGCCTGAACCTCAAGTCCCAAGAGCCTTGAACCACCTCTCATAAGCTATCATGAGAGAGCATGGCAGCCTTTCGAACCCCCGCCAGTGTGCGTAGGCGCTGCGCCCCGTATTTACTTGCCCTAACTTGCTACAGAGCCTGTCCCAGCACACCATCTTGTGGCTTGCAGTCCGAGGATGTTGAGGGTGTCGGGTCGTAGTCTTGGGGTTGAAAGTTGCCGAGGTTGCCCAAGTGTGTCAAGTTGCCCATAGTGGCCTATAGTTGGCGAAACCCAGGCCTCTCGACAAACCCTGACTCAAGAGGAATCGCCCCCCCCCCGCCCCCGAGCTCTCAAGTACTTGTCGCTGGCATTTCGCCCATTCAGGATCGGCGAGGGTTTTGGCAGCGCTCGGCCTTCTGCTCCTTGCGTTCGTTCTGAGGACATCCATGTGAGGTTTCGGGTTCAGGGTTTCAGGTGTACAGTAGTGTGTTTAAATGGCGGCGCCACGAACCCCTCCCAACCTCGCCCTGTAGATTCTGACCCGTTACTAACCCCTGAGGGCAAACGGTATTCTAGAGTTGCAGCTTTTCAATGAAGCATGTGGGGGTTTCCGAAATAAGGGGTACCTTATTGTGGTCCTTATTATACAGGACTTTTACTATTTGGGGTTATTATTGGGTCCATGCGTCCTCATTCTTGGAGGAGCATCCGTCGCCGCGTCTTGCGGCTGGCCGGAGGTCAGGTGAACTCGAAGGCTCACGGAGAAAGGTGGCCCTAAACCCTAAACCCTAAACTCTAAACCCTAAAGTAAGCGTGAGGTTCAAGGGCTTGGGTTTAGTTTCAGGGTTGGGCTCACACGTGAGGGTTGAGGGGTTTAGGGCTCTGCAAGTCAACACATCGTCCTCAAATCCTCGACCGTAGCTAAGATGCCCAGCCGTTTTGGGCGGTTTAGGTTCCCTTGTAAGCGCCTTTCAGCAAAAAAGGGGCACCCTTTTTATTCCTAGGTTACTGTACCGGGCAACGTAGCTAACCTCCAATCCCTTTTATTCGTCTGCTACTCAACCCGAAACCGAAAGTCCGAAGCCCTAAGCCCGAAACCCTAAACTCCCTACATCACCACCCTTACGGAGTGCTGCTCGATCTTGTCGTTTTGTTTGCAGCTGTAGGGGGGGCGGGTGGGGCTCGGCGAGCCGACCCCTTAAAACCCTGGAGATGCTAAATATCCTGGAGATCCTATGGATCCCAATAAAGCTCTCCCCCCCTTCCCCCCTTCCCCCCTTCCACGCTCGGTTACGAAAAAGAAAGGGTTTCTGAACAAAGAGGCCAAACCAGCAATCTCCAGCCTCAACTTTTCCTCTCAATTCCTGCGTCAGGGCCGCTCAACGTTGCTGACGGCGCTCCGTGCCCTGGCACCTAACCCTACACTCCTAAGTGCCAGACCGTACTCCCGACACCAGGTTCGAGAATTGGAGGTTCTTGGTAGAGTCCTGTTTCGTCGTCCTTCAGATCCTCGGGAGCTGCGAAGTCGAAACCGCGCTCAGCCGTTGGTTTAGCGAACCTCCGTTGATGCTTACAACCCCTGCAGCTTGCCACGTGTCACAGGGACTTCTCTTCATGTCAACTTTGGGCTTCAGGGTGGCCATGTTCAGGGGCACCTCGGCCCTTGGGCTTCAGGGCTCGGAGTCGCAGATTTGTTCGTAACATCCTCAGGTGCTCGCCAGTACCCTGAACCGAACTGGTGCCGTAGCTCAGGTCTGTCAGGAAGGAGCTTGCAGCACGACCAGGCTGGCTCAGGGTGGCCTCAGGCCTTGACCAGAGTAGGCAGGCTTTATTGCTTCGGCAGAGATTTGCTTGCTCACTCGCTTGGTCTGCTTATAGGTTGTTTTCCTGTGCTGACGTGCTTGCAGTAGCGGCTTCTGCTGTCAGTCCTGCCGAGTTGCCTGAATGCTACATGCTCCCACTAGTGAGTCTGTCCCTTTTTCTGCCACGGCTGCTTCTAACCTTGCAATGGTGATCGGCCCTTCACCTTACAACTGCTTAACAGCTTGTCCTCGGTTTGTTTAGGGTTTAGGGTTTAGGGTTTAGGGTTTAGGGTTTAGGGTTTAGGGTTTAGGGTTTAGGGTTTAGGGTTTAGGGTTTAGGGTTTAGGGTTTAGGGTTTAGGGTTTAGGGTTTAGGGTTACGGTTGAGGGTTGAGGGTTTCTTTCACATGCCATGTTAGTTGCCTCAGGTTGTGGATGCGGTCCTCAAGCCTTTGGAGTCCATTGTGATTAGGGACGCCCCGACGAGACTTGGCTCTCAAAGTTCAGCTGGGTAGGCCCTTTGGGGACAATTTAGTTTTTTCCCGGTTATTGGGTTTAAGAGGACTATATTTAAGGGCCATCCTAGAAAGGAGTATGTTAAGGCCTAGGATATGGCATACCGAGGATAACGACACATCGGCCCTTGCGTTTCGAGGTCGGTCGTGCATGACCACGTCGTCTTCAGAGTGGGAGACGTCGTCAAACACTGCTGTGGCAGCCTCGGAACCTGAAAGGGTGTTGGGCCAGTGTTGGGTCCAGGGTTCAGGTTTAAGATGGTTTAAGGGTGCCCGTGTGCGCCCAAGCCCCCAACACCCTTCTTTGCTCCCAAGCCAGCAGCATTTTTGAGCGGACCAATCGTCGCCTGCAAAGGTGGTCAGACGGGCACTGTGATGGGAATCGACGAGGATGGCGACCTGAGGGTCATCAAGGCAGACAACACCCACGCCGTGCTTTGGAAGAATGCTTAAGGTTCATAGGTTTGATTGGGCTGCGACGCACGTAGGCGGACACAATGTGCATGTTGGAGGAGAGGGTCGCACGAGCAGCCAGAAGTGTCGAAAGCCTTGCTCGCTCGCCGCGTTTTTGCGCCACTGGGTGCCGGGGGCTCACGACACTTCCTTGCGCTTTTTTTGGGTTCTCGGATGGCATCTCGTTGATGTTCATCCCAAGTCTGTGCTCTTCTTGGCTTCCGGGTCATACTTCGAGGTCTCCTACATACTCCCTTCTTGGTCTCAGGGCTTCGAAGCTTGCCAAGCGCAGGCGCCGGATCGCTTTGAGAACAATCGCCGTTTCGCGGACGAGTCCATTCTCTCATTTTGGAAGCCTGAATCTGTGAATCTGAGAATCTGTGAAGTTTTTTCGATGCGGCTATGCCAGTAAACTCACAAGCATCGGGCGCCAAATCCAAACTGAAGCGGCGTGGGGCGCGGCGAGGTGCTGCGAGGGGATCCCGTGTTCAAGCGCTGGGTGAACTTAGTCCAGGATTTTATGGTTTAGAGGCGTTTAGGGGTTTGGGCCTAGAGGCTCCCCCGAACCCTGAGCTCCGGGGGTAGGTTGAAAAGCGGTTGCAACTAAACCCTCAACTTTCAATCCCTTCAAAACCTTTCGCCGGCCAGCAGAGGTGTGGTTTGGCTGCAAGTGCACCAAGACCTTCAGCATCGGAGACCGCGTTAGCTACGCCTGCGGTGATGTCGCAGAGTTGGTAGGTTTCGATGAAGACGGTGCCCTGGCTTAGGGTGGATTATACTAGGGGGCTATGTGACAGCCGTATTTCTGGTCACATACCCTACGCCCGTAAAACAACACTCAAAACCCCCAAGCCCAGCCCCACACTAATCCCTAGACCCTTGAAGACACACAGCCCTAAACCAAAGAGAGGAAGCTTAGTAGATCTAGCCAGCGAAGTGCAAAAAGCGCAGATTCTTGTAGGGATGCAATCAAAAAGGAGGGAATTGGTGCTAGATCCGAACAAACATATGCGAAGATTCTAATTCAATTGTGTTCTGATCCCTGCCGTTCAATTCAATGGCTGGCTTCCATCAGCGGTATAGGCGTCAGGGTTAGGGCAAGGTAGCTTGCTTACGGTTGTGTGTGTGTGTGGGGTTAGGGTAGCGGTGTGAGGACTTTGTCTTTGGGGTTTTAAGTCTTGCCTTTTTGGCTCCAAGTGCAGTGTTTGATCCCATCAGGGTGTCTTTGAGGGTCTCTGGATTGGGGTGGGTTTGAGTTTTTGCGTATCAAGGTCTTGGCCTGGTTTTTGGGGGGTTGGGGCTGGGGGTTGGGCTTTGTTGGGTATGGGTTTTGCGTTTCAGGGCATTTGGCGTAAATTAGCGTTTTTGTTGCTATCGTTCGGGGCAAAGAAAACCTGGTCTTTAGGTCAGGGGCGATCGGTCTTTTAGATTCGGTTACCCCTGTTTGTCCTGAAGGGAGGAGGTTCATGGGGGAGCCTTCGGGAGTAGTGGGGAGTATTAGGGAAACCCCCATCCCTTAAGGCCCTAACCTCGGGATGAACCTTAAATGCTCCAGGCGACTTGATCGTCCGTCGCGCCAACGGCTCGGAGTCCGTCTGGTTTCGCGGCCCCTGGGTTAGCACGCGGTTTAGGGTTTAGGGTTTAGAGTTCAGGGTATAGGAGAGCCATGGAGAGCCTCTACCGTCTGCTGTTCATGCGAATGTTCCTCAGGCAGCAGCACTCGCCTGCTGAGCATTGGCGACCGAGTACATTACAGCTGTGGACAAGTGGCCACGGTGCAGGGCTTTGATGAAGAAGGCCGGCTGCGAAAAGAACAGACCGGGAATTTGAATCACAAACACTTCCTGGTTTGGCAAGTCAGCAATCGAACCGGCAGCGGACTTCACTCTAATTGCGCTTTCAGTGCTGGCTGGGGCAAATGCCTTCGACCTTCCTTGCTTCGCTTCGCGTTTCATGGCGTCAGCTGGTTCCACAGGATCCATGAACCCTACATGCTGCAGACATCTTCTCAAACCCAAGGGTTTAGAGCCCACAGCCCTTAAACAGCAACCTACATCCACCCCCTCAACCGCCAGGTGACGTTGAAGTCATCAAGCCCGATGGCGTCAAGGGCGTTTGGTACGCCCACAAGTGCCCGCGTCTCAGAACTGATGTTTGGGATTTCCAAAGTGTAAGTTGCAAGGCCCAAAACCCCAAACTTCGTTGAGACCATGGGGCCCTCATCTAGCTGCTGCGACCCAAACCTTTATGCGGTTCTTTGTAGCTCTGGAGTGCGGGGTTTTCAGCTTTGCTTTAAGCAGCAGTAACAGGAAAGCAAGCACGCAGTTGGAGCCCTGGAACATGCAGAAACGCTGGATATTTCAGCATTTGGAGCCTGCAGACCACCAGGAAATGCTGTGTTCTTCAGCATTTCAAGCCTGCGAGCCAGAAATGCACTGCATGGCAGCTAGAGTCTGGAAGGAGGGGCGTCAACGTTAGCAAGGAAAGCAGCCAGGGCCAACCGACAAAGAAACGCCTCCGCCGCCGGTTGTTCTGAGAAAGGCTGGCTTTTTGTATTTCCCGTCTACATCCTGTGTGAGAGCTGGTCGCTGCTTTAGTAACGTTGCCTTTGTGGCCTGGACCCTAAAGCTGCGAAGGCAACCACACCAGCAAGAAAGAGCAGCCAAACAGTGATAGCCAACGGCAAACATAAACAGGATAGGGGCAAAACTACAAAGGCGACGTTGGCGGCTTCGCCTTTGGGGATTAACAAATCTGGGCCTAGGCCCCAAAGTGATGAACGCAACGCGCCCAGCGCGCCCTCAGCCCCCGAAGTCCCCAAGCCCCAAAAAGCCTCAAACCCCAGCGTCCCCAAAGCCCACAGCGAAAGACGAAGCCAAAGACCGAGGCCCTAAGCCCCAAAACCCGAAAGCCTAAACCCTTAGCTCATGGCTTCGAGGCATCCAGGGCCTCGGTCCTCTGGACAAGGCGTGTTTCTTTTTTTTTTTTTTGGGGGGGGGGGGGGCTCAGCGCTTCTTTCGTGTGGCTGCTTTAGCTGGCTTTCTCAAGGCTTTACAGGCCTTATATCATCATGGTCTTCCCCCCCCCTCTCGAGTCATGATGGGTTTAGGCTTTGAAGTTCTTGGGTTAAGGTTAAGGTTTGGGGTTTAGGGCTTAGGGTCTCGGGTTGAGGGATGTCAGAACACTGATAGCTTAAATCTTCGAGCCGGCATCTCCAAGCCTGAGCTCTCCTCTGCACAGGCGCTGCCCTCGGAGGGCCCGTGAGCTCCTGGGCATCTGGAGGTGCCCCGTCGTCGCTGAGGGGCACCATACCACGCACTGCTGATGGCCTTGGCTTTGGGGTTTCGGGTCATGGCATGGCTCCCTACACCCGGGTTGAGTGCCGACAGCCCTCAGGCAAGGACATGCACGGCCCTTGAATGCACGAAGCAGCACTGCTGCTGGCAGAAAAAGGGTGCTCTGAACCTGAAACCCTCTGTCGCCATCAGCGCTAGCTTTAGGGCCAGAGTTTCGCCGAATCGAGGCAGTGCCCAGGCTGCAGCCCATGGGCCGGATGTCGCAACAAGAAGGGCGTAGAGCCAAGTGGCTGAGTCTTTTGGATTTTGGCTGAAGGGCTCAGGATGTTTGGCCTTCAGTGTAGAGTGTAGAGTGTGCAGGACCTGCCATAGTTTCGGGCCTCCCTTTGGAACTTCGAAGGATCTTTCCATCGACAAAGGCTCCACGCCTCAAACCCCAAGCTCTCAACCTCAAGTCCTTAACCTCACACCCCAAACCCGGTCCCCACTTTCCCTGAAAACCCCAAATGCCCAAACCCTAAGCCCTCACTGGACAGTTAGCATGGTTAGTCACCTGGCTGGTCTAGTGGGGGGGGGTTTATAAGAGCTCCCAAGCTCAGGGTGCGCAGGAAGCCCTTGTCCCCAAAGAACCTCAGCCCTTCAGCAAAGGCCCCCCCAAAAAGGCCCTTGTCAGTCGCAAGTCGGCATCCGGACACCAGGGGGCCCCCCTCGGAGCAATGCCTGCGGAACTTCGAACGAATTCGCGTTGCCTTGCTGCCTTCTAGCGTCCCGGTGCAGGGTTTGAGGGGTTTCTGTTTTGTTTCTGTGGGGTCCAAGAGGGAAAGGACTGGTCACTTGAGGGTTTCAGGGTTGAGGGTTTCGTGTCCATCCTTTGGCAGCGGCCAGCTATGGCCACCTTTTCGCCACGTCGGGGCGGCGCATTCGCTCACGCGGGTGGCTTCTGGGTTTAGGGTTTATTGCGGGTTGAAAGCTCGAGCTTCGAAATCTATGGTCGCCACCCCACGACCGTCGCCCGACGGCCCGTGTATCTCCAGGGCTCTCCGGGTAGAAGTAAGACCCAAGTTAGAACTCACTTGAAACCAAGTTGCAACTAAGTTAGAGCTAGGTTAAATCCATATTGAAGCTAAGTTAAAACGAAGTTCCCCCAACACCTACATCCAAGCCCTTTCGAGGGTCCTGGAAGGCCAGGTCCTGGAGAGCCCCCAGTTTTCTGTTTCACCCTCTGGCATGGAGGAGCCGAGGCCACTATTATGTTTTATATTATTGTTTATATTATTGATATGATTGTATATATATATATATATATGTGTGTATATATACATATATATATATATGATCAGTATGATTATTATTATTAATATCAGTGTTTTGCTAATTTCAGGCGCAGGGATAGGTTTTTCAGGGATAGGAGCTCCAAAAGCTAGGAGTGGTACTTTTCATGGTCTGGGTTGAGGGTTTAGGGTTTAGGGTTATGTAGATGCGCTGCTCAGTCGCTCGTGCTCCCCGTGCACGCGTAATCCCTGCAACCTTGCTCAGTCTGCCGGCAAAGAACGCGCTGGTGAAAGCCAATGCAGACCATGGATAGACACCTTCCCCCAGGCTTAAAGTCCGGGCTAAACCCTAAACCCTAAACCCTAAACTCTAAACCCTAAACCCAAAACCCTGGTTCTTAAGCTACTTAGCTCCCGACTCTCTTTCCTTTAGACTTGCCCACTCCCGAACGCAGAAGCCAATTCCTCGACTTTGACACTTGAAATCTCCACATCCTCAGTAGGAGCCTGCGAGCCATTGACTAGGGGTGTTCCTCATCGAATCCTCGGGAGGCATTTTCAATTTCAACCTCTTCAAGTGCTAGGGCTGACAAAGGGTGTTCATTTACTCATTGCTTCGGGTTTCTGGATTCCGTGAAAAGTCGCATAAGATGACTTCTCAGAGCTCGGGTGTCCTTCTGAGTAGCTTAGGCTCTCCTGAAGCTCATTCCAGCCTCTAGTTTCGGATTCTTGCGGGCCCAGGAGAGGTGGTGGTGTATGACAAGGCTGGGAGTGCGCGTGTAGGGTTGTCGGGTTCGGAAGTTCGAGTGTGGATTTTTGCACCTTAGAGTGCTTGACTTGAAGGTTCGTGTGAGGTCGAAGGCAGGGTTGTTAGTACGGTGACCCCTGTTACAGCTTCAAGGTTCTCAGGACCCAGGACCCTACATATATTTGCAGCTTGCAACTACCCGCTGCGTCGGGGCCTGACTTCCCTGTCTGTGCCCTGCCCCAGCTTTGAAGCAAGAGCGTTGCAGCGTCTGCTCTGCCACACCCACTCCCTGCTCTCCTGTGTGGCACAGAAGCAAGTCTCACAGCCGCCAACAGCCAACGTTGCCACAATGTATTAGGGTTCAGGGTTGTATTTTCACTGAAAGAGGGTTTAGGCCTGAAGAGTTCAGGAGTAGTGTGATTCGATGGCTGGGTCAGTGAAGGACAGCACCCCCAGCAAAACGGCCCCATCGAAGTCCATAGCAAGGGGCTGAAACTTCCGAAACGGCATCGGCCTTACTCAAACCTTAGTTAAGCCTTAGCTTGCACCCAAAGCCCTAAAGAGCTAAGCATCCGAAGCCCAGGACCAATGTTACCCCGAGTTCCTTCTGCTTTACCGGCGTGAGTTCAGCTGAACCTGGCCCACGCCGAATCCTGAGCCACAGATGATCACAGATCACAGATGATCTGATCTGATCTGCATAGATTGACTGAGAATTGCGACCCCAAATCCCTATTTCAAACCATACGCCCTGACGTTTGGAGCAGGCTTACTCCTGATCCTTGCGCTCCCACCGGCAAGTCCTCACAGGGGCTTCCACATTCTCACCCTCGAGATCCTCAAGCCTTTAACCGAGAATAGCTGTTGAAGAGTTCTATTGAGATTCAGGGTTTCCTTCAGCATATAGGTGGTATGAGAGGCCAAGGAAAGCAAGTCATTCAGAATTTCTATCCAGTCCGGCCCGTACGACTGCCCTTTGAGATTGGTAGGCAAAGGCGTCAGGGGTGTGTAGTTCTCCCCAATCCTCAACTGGAACTCCAAAGACGACAGTAAGCCCTCAAAACCCCTCTGGAGCTGGCCGCCCACGTTGCCAGGGGCCGGTAAAGACGGCATTGCTTTGTCGCATAGCTGAGACCGACGGCTCTCGGCCGGCTGCGCAGGGGACTTCCGCACAACGGGGCTGAGTAGGGTTGAGGGGTTTAGCATCCTAAACACATCTTTTTTCATGCAGCGGAGTTTTTTGTTTTGGTTTCGAAGGGTGTCCATTGACGAGGCAAGTGGACAGGCGTGGAGGTTGAGTATGTGAAGGATTTTTTTGCTTCAAGTCTTTAGTGCTCCGTGGGCGAAAACTCCCACAATGCCGTGGCCCAGAATTTGTCACGCGTCCAGCGCCCACCTGTGTACAGTTCGGGTGTGGCGCTGTGCGCAGAAGGCAGCTTCAGGGTAATCTGTCACAGACCCCCTCATAAACTCAAGAAGTATAGTGGAAAAAGTTGCATACCTTATGGGAAGTGGCGCGATGTGCATGCTCGACCATGCGACAAGGCATGGAGTGGACCTCTTTTTCATGCTTTTTCCTAGACGGCTGGGATGGGAGGGGCTTCATGACGGAGGTCGCAAGAGAGCTCAGCAAGAGAGCCAACAAAGCCGACATCGCACCTCTGGTGTGGATTGCCTCACATCCCGCCCAAGGCCACGGGCGTACCAGGGCTTTCGGTGCTGGACGGCAATGTAGCATGGAGAGTCGACTGGCAAGGGATGAGAGTTGTCCATGGTCTGGGAACGCCTTGGCCTTGCGCCGCATCCCCTCTTTTATGCGACCGTGGCACAGTTTGGCAGCTCGGCTCCCGTGCTGCAGCTTGACATGGGCACTTAATGACCCCATGCTATATGCAACGTGCTGCAGTACGCGCACCGGGCTGCCGGCACTGCTTGACGGAAGCCTTGCTGTAGTGTTGCAGCCTGCAGCCATTGCACTTAGCATTGCACAGAGCTGTGGCCAAGAAGTCTCACCCTGTCGAACATGAGTGCATGTAGTTTTCACCATTTAATTTTCCGAGAACTGGCCATTGTTCAGGTCCAGGGCTTCCCAGAGCCACAGAGTTTGCTTCGATATTTGGCTTTACAATGGCTGGCAATTCGCATGGCTGCGGCCACGGCGCTTCGGTCGGCAATTCGAGCAAACTGGCAAGACCTACCAACGGATGCTGGTACTCCTTGCTTGGCTGCACAATTCGCTCGCAAGATGCAAGAGGTAGTTTGTGTAATAAAGATTTAAGATGAAACGCGCGCATCAGAAGCTTGCGCTCCTAGCCAGGCCAGTGGCTGCACCCAAATGTCCCGAGGTAAACCTAAATCAGACTTGCAGAAGCCTCAGGAGTCTGGGTCCAGCCGCAAGTAGACGGCCTGAAGCAGTCTCACACCCCCCAATCCCAAAGCCTAACCCGTTAAGCCAAGTACCATCACTACTTGAATGGAGCCTAAAAACCCCCAGAAGCTGCCCTGAACCCCAGCACCACGAAGACCTGAGCCCTACCCAACATAGCGAAGCCTAATCTGAACATGGTCGACTAGACCAACTTCCAACGACGCCTCAAAAACCCTCAGCCGCTGGAAGCCATAGGCTTTCCAGGCGTGCTTGCAGCGCCGCCGGTGCTGGGCGCAGATGCCCAGGTGCAGGGCTTGAGGGCCTTGGCAACAGGCAGGCTACAGGGTGTGGAAGGAAACCACCCTAGACCCTAAATGCTTTAGGGCTGCAAGGCTTGCGCTGGTGTAGCATGACCTTTAACCCCACCAGCCCCCAACTAAGCTGTAGACCAGTAATCTGCAAACCCCCGAAGACCCTCAACCAAACCAAAGCCAACAATGCAAAACGCAACGGCAATATGGGCTCCTGGAGGCCCTCATAGAACTGAACAAGGGCCTCAGAATCAGGATGTAGGGTTGGCGCTGCTTCGCAAACGAAGGACGATTCATGTGTTGTGAAGGGCACTCCATCTCCTCAACCCATGCAGAAGGTGTTGAACATTGCCACTGCGCCCAAGTGGCAACAACCAAAGAACCCGAGAAAGCTCAGCCATGGCCAGCGGTGGATCGCGCACTGTCCACTCGGATTTCGTCATGAACTTGTGCACAACCCACGAAGTAGTAGCATCCTGCAGCGCCAAATGCAGACGCGGTAATATACTCATAAGTGAGTGTACGATTGCATGAATTATATTATAGCCGCGTGCACGAAGCCAGATAATAAGAAGAGAATACGAAGTGAGTCATAAATGAGCTTGTGAGTGCATGAATTCAATGAACTTGAGAACGCAGTAAATGAACGCACGAATCGCGGGCACAATATGAATCTCTTCATAAGCCCGCATGAATAGTGTGCGTTCGTTTGTGCGGCCCTTAAATTCTCTTATTGGCGCACGTTTGGGCGGGGGGGGTGGTGGGGGGGTCTGGCGCTTTGAGAGAAGAGGCCGAGGTCTGGTTTTGAGAAAACTCTTCCAACACAAAATCCCAGATTCCATGTCTTACTTGAGAAGGTTGACGGCTTTCATAAGCGTCGATGCCAAGATGGCCCCAAGTCCGATCTGGGTGCTGCCTCTGCAATGCCCGTGTGTTGGACACTGGCACTTGAAGATCCGGTAGCTCTAGTGGGGTTATATGCCGTAAGGGTCTATATAGCTACATAATAGCTACCCATAAAAGCAGCTTTCACGCGCCACCGTGGCCGTACGAAGCCCGTGCATGGGGCGAACTGTGAGCTTGAGCCCTGGAGCCTAGACCGGATTGGGCCCGTAGGGTATGGTCGGGTTATCGCGTCACAGGGGTATGGTACGTAAGGGATATAGGACCGATGCGGATTCATAATTTATAGGGTTGGCATTCCTGGGTTTAGGGGTTTAGGGTGCAGGGCTCAGGTGTTTACGATGTGCGCAGCGCGGCGCCAGCAATCTCCGAAAAAGGGTGCGCCTCCTTTTGTCGACGCCTGCTGTTCATGCCCAACATTCGAAAGGTACAGAGCTTAATGTGTCGATTAGGAACTCGAATCAGGAAGCTTCTTAGGGTTGCCTGCAGGTGTATCGAACCTGCATGATGAGGATGTGCGATGATACTGTTACACAGCGCCTGTGATGTTTGGAATGTCGAGCACTCCTGATCGCCCATCTAGAGGAACTCATCCTCGGAAGTGATGCTAACGCCCTGCAGGCACTTAGCGCATGTCTGAGCAGGAGCCCAGATTCTATCGTCGCCTCGAGACTTTCCAGCTCGGACAAGCCTTTCCACACTGCTGGTGTATCAATCGGTTTGGATTGCCCTAACCTCCACTCTACAGCCAAAACCCTGAACCTTGAAGCCTAAATCCTGCAGCCTAAACTCCACAAAGTCAACAGACCCTGGTGCCCAAACCCCAAAGAAGTAAAGCACTACGGCAGCTCTCGTTGCCTCGCAAACGCCATGAGAATTGCCAGGTGGGCCCAAACTGCTGTTGCGGGAAGTGTTGCAGGGTTTACGGTTCAGGGTGGGTTTTGAAGGCTCAGGGCTCTCCCCTCTCCACTCTCCCCCTCTCGCCCCCCACTCTCCCCCTCTCTCCGCCTCTCTCCCACTCTCCCCCCTCTCCTCCCCCTCTCCCCCCTCTCCCCCTCCCCCTCCCTCCCCCTCCCCCCCTTGAGGTTGGACGGACAAGTTATGAGGGTTACATAGGCTCGGAAAAATTACTTAGTATTGCCTTATATGCTAGAATTCCCCCCCCCCCCCCCCCCAAAAAAAAAAAAAAAAACCTGTTTTAATTATTCAGGCCCCTATATTCCCCCAAGCGCTGTAAGAACCTGATCTCCGCGCAAGGGCAGCCCCGCAGCTGACGGAGGAGCGCTTCACGGCCGTGCCGCGCGGACGCACCCGGCTTTTGTCCGAGGCTAACGTCCCGAAACCCTCGGAAGGCCCAAAGTCCTAGTTCGGGCTTAGGGTTTCACGGCTTGAGGTTTCGTGTCTGCAGCCCTCAGACCAGCACTAGAAGCCTTGAGCTTAACTACCCTCAAGGGCTTCGAATTTGAAGTTTCCTCGGGACCCGAGGCTTTAATCCCTAAGCCCGGAGCCCTAAAGCCAGAAGGGATGGAGTGAGAGGGAGGGTTCAAGGGCTATCCAGGAAAGGCCCCAAGATCCGAAACTCGAAAGAAACTGCCAAGAAGTGTCTGGCACCTAAACCCCCGAAGCCTTAGCCCTTTGCCACAGTCTTAAGTGCCTACAGGCCTCAACAACCCTAAACCCTAAACCCTAAACCCTAAACCCTAAACCCTAAACCCTAAACCCTAAACCCTAAACCCTAAACCCTAAACCCTACACCCTAACCCTAAACCCTAAACCCTAAACCCTAACAACCCTAGAGGGTTTAGGACTGGACCTGTAGGTTTTGTTAGGGTTTGCAAGGGAGCCAGTCCCGATTGACTCCAGTCAAGGTCCATACTGGCCAAGCCCAGGCCGCTCAAGCGGGGCGCCCAGCATAGGGTGTAGGGTTTAGGGTTTAGGGTTTAGGGTTTAGGGTGTAGGTGTAGGGTTTAGGGTTTAGGGTTTAGGGCAAACAGCCTGAGGACACGCGCGTGTCCAGAAGTGTCAATACCAACACACAATCTTGTGCTTGCTCTTCTTTTCTCAAAGGAAAAAAGGGATCAGCCCCGTGTGTTCGTTGATTTTTGTTCAATACCGTTATACTCCCAAATGAAGGGGAGCAAAAGGTGAGGAAGGAAGAACGCTAGCCAAGAATGAAGTGCAGAGCTTACTGCAACAGCAGCAGTACAACAACAACAACAACCCTCATCGCACATCATCGCGCGAATAGTAGCAACCCTCATCTTCAGCCGCGTCAGCCCGATCGTCCTCCTTGCCGCGACCAGAAAGCGGCTACACGGTCGTCGTCAGCAGGATCACCCGTTCGAGTATCCATGATCGATAAGCTTCTGGACTGAGCCGGACTGCCGTTGCTCATCTGCAATCCGGATCTTCAACAGCTGTTTCCCCCCTACCCTTGCAACGTCTTCTTGGGCGGATCCTCGGATGTATCCTGGGCCTTGATGCTTTTGTGCGCTCACGGCAATCCTTTGGTGCTTATCAGTGGGCTTTTGGCCCAGTGCAGCAACGAGGCCCTCCCCTGTGTGCTGACGAGCTTGAAGGAACGACTTGTCCAACTGGTCAAGAGTGAGACGAGGTTGTCAATCCTTCTGATGCTCCAAAGATGGCGCACCATGCCGGGTGGGATACTGTGGGGGAATTAGCTTCTTTCGGCCCAAGGAGCTGGGCACGCGGTTAATCGGCGATCGTGATTTTGCAGATGCAAGTAGAAGTTTCTAGTAGCCCTCCACCCAAACCCTATTACCCTAAACCCTCTGAGCCTCTGAGCCCTTTGCACGTTGTGAATGTTACGTTAAAACCCTATTACCCCAAACCCTCTCAGCCCTTTGCACGTTGTGAATGTTACGAAGGTTTGCATCACTCCGCTCAATGCTTGATAGCCCAGCTTGCGTTTGTGGTTCATGTTTTTTCTCAGAGACTTGAGAAGGGCTGGCTTCGTGCGCAAGTAGGGCAACCCAAGGTGCAGAGCTGCAAGGAAAGCTCGCTTGGGGGCTCAACAATAAGCCGCAAGGCCCGAGGGTTCGCCGGATCGGCTGAGTGCGAGAGCCTCTGAGGCCCCGGAAGCAGGACTCCAACGACTCGGGTTCCGTCTGGCAGGCGCCACATCCTTCACAAACTCACGAGCCAATGACCTCTTTCTAGGAGTTCTGTTGGGATTTGGCGAGATCTTGTTTCGACTTCGAGCACAATGATGAGGAAGTAATGTACGTGTGTGTGTGTGTATGCGCGCGTTGTAAAACAAAGTACGGTAGTGTAATGTAGCGCAACGCACTGAAAGGCAGCAAGGCTGAAAGTATTCGGAACTCCAACCCCAGCCCTTAAGCCTCAACCCTAAGCACCGACACCCTCAAGATGCAGACACAGACACAGACACAGCACACAGACGCATAGAGATGGATCTTTCGATCGAGTGGTATGAGTGATCGAGCACAGAAAGGTCGCTCCAAGACCCCCAAGAATGGTCTACATCCACAGGGCACCCAAAAGAAGCCAACCAAGAGCCCAAACCATCCCAATCCCCACGCCCTCGACCCCCTAATCGGCGCCTTGAATGTGGAGGTGGTCTTCAGACAGATGGATCCCATTGACCCTCAGCGGGGGCTTCTTTGATGAATGCGACGCATCGTGGGATTTCGGGTTTGGGTCGTTCTACTTCCGTCTTTGAAGGTTCAGGCATTGGCTTCCACTGCGGGCATTAGAGGTGTGAATCACCACTCGTTGCTCCTGTCTGATATTCCTGAGTTCGGCCGCTCCCGACACATCATGGCATGATCATGACAGTTAGCAAAAAGTTCGTTCCATTCTTATTATACCTGGAACAGCACTACCCCTGTTGCAAGCTTGAGCCTTCCAGAGGAACCCATACAGCTGCTCATCAATGGGCAAGATGCAGTGAGTGAAGGTTTCGCGTTAAGCACACTCCGTCTCGGGGGCAACGTGGAGCTTCCCACCGGCGCTGTGCCCTGAAGCCCACAAAAATGGGGGGTTTACGCGAGTTGGCGTACACCCCCAACTAGTATTCCCTTCTAAATGGACCCCACAAGGTACTTCGGAAACTTTCGGAATCTCCAAAGAGCTTGCAAGTGAACCGACTGCTTCAAAGGCCCTTCGCCCCAATCTGGGAGGTGCCGCTTCCCAGGGCCAAAGAGGAGACCGGCTAGTAATTGCTTAAGAACCCCCCCCCTCCCCAAATAAAAATGATAAAAAAAAGATATTCTTCCCCATAAAGGTAATGTGGGGATTATTATTATTGTTATCATTATTGTTTCTTTGTTCTCTTGGGGTTCTTAAGCAAATAGCAGCTGGAGCTTTCGGATTGCTGACTTTCTAAAGGTTTCAGGCTTCGGGTTTCGGATCTCGAGCACCAGACCTCTTAAGCCCAGTGCCTTGAACCCCCAAAAAGTCCTTACAAAAGCGCAGCCTTCTGAGAGGAGGTGGCAGATGCCGATCGCTCTGAGGCCTGCTTATTGAGCTAGCCATCCCCCTCTCTCCCTCCCCTCCCCCCCCAGGCTCCAATAGCCAAGCAAGAGGCAAAGCTGCCTCCAAGTTGCTTCGCAGGTCTCGGGGGAGTTCGGGAGTTGACAGCTTAGCGGTTTGAAGAGGTTTAGGGCAGTGTTTTGGCTTCAGGATTCAAGTGCCTCCTTCGTTGATTCTTGCAAATCCATGGAGCGCAGAAGCCGCGGTCGAGCGGTGGAAGCACCGCAGCATGTTGAACTGCCTTGCACCCCTCGACAGCTCGTAAGCATGATATGGGGGTTTACGAAAGTAGTGGACCCCTAAAAGAGGTCCCGAATAGTGGTAATTCCCTCTTAAAAAGGACCCCAACAAGGTACCCCAATTGCGGAAACCACCATATCCTCAGCCCCATTCGGCAAAAACTGAACCCTGGCCCCAGAAGGAAAGGATCGCACTGGCTCTTTGGATCCCAGCCCCAAACCTCCCCAACCCCCCCGTCCCCTAACCCCCTAAACCTTAAACCCTGCACCCTAAACCCTAAACCCTAAATCCTAAACCCTAAATCCTAAACCCTAATCAGCACGAGGCAGGCATCCTTCCCCGAGGGGACCTGAGCCTCGGCCTTTGGCGGCCGCCGGAAGGCCGGGATGTGTTGTGTCTTTGCTCTCTCAAACCCTGAACCCTAAACCCTAAACCCTAAACCCGAAACCCGAAACCCGAAGCCCTAAACCGCAGCTGTGGAGTTGAGACTCCTCTAGTTAGAGCCGGGGCACTGCGTTCGGAGGCGTTCGGAGGCTGCCGTGCCCGTGGGAGAAGGCCTCTCTCAACGCCAGCTGCGGCCAGGTGCCGAGTTGCCACGGGAGTTGCCCTGACAAACCCCGATGTTCTCGGCCCTAGGGTCTGCATAGATCGAACGGCACCAGAAACAGCCTCAAAAACAAGGGCGCCACCAAACACGCGAAATGCTGAAGCCCAAGTTGCCGAAACTAAACCCGAATAACTTCAAAAAAGCGTGGGCAGGGTGGAGGAGGAGTGGGGGTAGAGGAAGGTCTGGGGGTTCCCTGGTACATCCGAAACAAATCTTGAGCAAACAACCCGAACTTGTCCTGAAACGCAACAACCTGACACAAACCACATGCTTTGAGACAGAGAGGCCCGGGCTCTTTCACCCACTGCCCCCCTACCCCCCAATGATGTTTGTTTTCTTTCAGGCTTTCCAAACATCCAACCTCTAGAATGTTGGCGATGCTTGAGTGTGATTCGGCAAACTGTCAGGCCCAAGTGCAGCACAAGCATGTTCAGCGGCGCTTCTATTGCTTTGGTTCTGTTCACATATGCGAGCCCGCACTGTTGCAGGGCAAGCCTTGATCACACAGAAGTGCGAAGAATACATCGGGCCTGTTCACAACGAACTGGTATGTTTTAGGCTGGAGACTTGCATGGACCCTAGCCTAATCAAGTCCCAAATCCCTAGAGATGTAAATCGACTCATCTCAGGCATGGCCCCACCTCGGGGCAACGGAGTTCGTCGGGACAGGTGAGCGACAGTTGGCATCGGGTTCGGGGCGTTTTTTGAAGGTTCCGAAGGCCTAAACCAACACCCATGCATCCAGCACCCGCAACAAACCCGAAAAACCCCCTTAAACCCTGAAGCATTGAGCCCCTTGAAGGCCAAAAACTACAGACTCGAAGCAGGAGACACAAATTACTGAATCTTGCACCTCAGTCTCCTAAGCCTCCGAAACCTTCTGAACTCTGAGGGTTCAGATCTCAGGTTTAAGGTTAAGGTTCAGGGCTAGGGCTTAGGGCTTAGGGCTTAGGGCTTAGGGCTTAGGGCTTAGGGCTTAGGGCTGAGGGCTGAGGGCTGAGGGCTGAGGGCTTAGGGCTTAGGGCTTAGGGCTTAGGGCTTAGGGCTTAGGGCTGAGGGCCTAGGGCCTAGGGCCTAGGGTTTAGCGTTTAGGGTTTAGGGTTTAGGGTTTCGGGCTTAGGGTTTAGGGTGAGACTCATTTTTGCTCCTGCGCCCAACGGAAAGCCCTGTTATCACCTTCGGGCGGACGTTGCGTGGAGATTGGAGTTTAGGCTCGAAAGGTGCTGATGCTGATTCTCGTAGTTGGGCTCAAATGAAAGCTTTCCCATGTTATCGGCGAAGCAGTTCCGGGCTTCCGACCCTCAAGTTGAGCAGCTTGCGCAACGCAACGTAGCGCAACACCTTTCGACTCCAAAGTCCATGTCGGGGTTATACAGGTTTCCCATTTCGGGGCTCACTTTCTTCGGCAAGCGCACCTGAAAGCGGAGCTGGGCGCCAGAGCCAAGATCTCCGCCAGCTTTCCTGCGCAGCCTCCAGGCATCAGCCCCCCTACCTCCACGAGAGTCCAGCATGCTGCCAGGAAGGTTTCGACAACGCCCCCTGCCTGCCGGCCGAAGATGGGTGGCCACGCCCGGTGGAAGCGGCCCAAACCCAAGGGATGCCGAAGGGGGGAGCACAGAAGCACAGAAGCACAGAAGCACAGAAGCACTCGGGGCAACCGCTTTGATGTCGGGCTTTCGGCTGCTTCGAGGTTGTGTCAGGTTTAGCCCTACGACTCTTCCTTGGACCTTTTGGTAGATGGGGGAAGCCTTTTGGATCATGTCAGGAAGGCGACTTGAAGGTGCCTCGCCTGAGCTCACCATGGCCACCAGAATTGGAGTGATTTCACGTTCGCGTAGTGGGGATCCACAATCCTGGTGGCATTCCACTTCTGGGTAGTGACGGGTAGTGGGTTTCCACCTAGTCCAGTGTGTATCCAGCCAAGGCGTTAAGAGGCCTTGAGCTGGTGTAGGAAGAGACCCTCTGATACTTCTTATGTGTACCTGAACTTCCGGTCTAGGCGTTGAACCCAGCCCTTGATGCCCCCTAAGCCCGCCCCTTAGGCTGGCCGAACCGCGCCATCCTGGAGTTTCTGCCGAGGTGGGCTTAGGGTTTAGGGTTTAGGGTTTAGGTTTAGGGGGCTGGTAGGCTCCAAATGTTCAGGGACTCGTGGGCTTCTGGGTTTGCTGTGTGAGACATGAGAGTGTGGCGCTTTGGTGGTGCAGAGAGTGTCCGTGTGACAGGCCTTGGGGCATCAAAAGACGTGGGGGCCCCCAAAGAAAATGCAGGCCCTGGAGTTCAGCTTGTGGATGTCGACCTCCCCCCCCCCCCCCTTCCCCCCAAAGCTCTTCCACCCTGAGCCCCCTCGCAAGTCCCCCAAGCGCACAAACGTAAACCCCCGCAACAGAGTCTTCAAGTGCCAGTTGGAAGGGCGCTGTTGGTCTTTACAGTCTGAGAAGCGGACACTGGATTGTAGCTTGTTTGGGCAGCTTCTGGGGTGTTTTGCCTTCGGAAGTCTCTAGGGCTTCTCGGTTTGTGGTGATCCCTGGGCTCGTGGTCCTATGAGCCGATGCTCCAGTGCGGCCCCGGGCAGGCGAGTGAGTCCCGGTCCAATGTGCCAACGCCGGGGAGGACGGACTCAAAACTTAACGGATCGAAGGAAGCCTGGAAGCCCGCCAGCCCCAAACCCTGAAGTTGAATCTTAAATCCTCAGATGCGCCAGTTTAGGGGCTTTTGGGTGAACCGTAGCGAGATTGGAAGCGAATGCCTTTTGCAAGGGTCGGCGTTGGGAGTTTAGGGTCCAGGCCTTCCGGGCTGGCGGGAGGCAAGGCAAGCTGCAGCTGCGCTCAAGCTTTGCAAAATGCTTCAACCCTAAACCCTAAACCCTAAACCCTAAACCCTAAACCCTAAACCCTAAATTTCAGGCCTAGCGGCACGGGCCGGCCCCCGCCCCCCAAAGCACGAAACCTTGAACCTTGGCACTGTCTTCTCTTTCCGTTTTCTTTGTCCTTTGTCTTTGTCTCTCTCCTCTCGCTCTCTTTCCATTTTTCTTTGTCCTTTGTCTTTTTCGCTCTCCTCTCTCTCTCTCTCTCGCTCTCTCGCGTGTTTTTTTCTGTCTTTGTTTCTTCCTCTCTCTACTTGCCTGTTTTTCTTTTTCTCTGTCTTTATCTTTCTCCTCTTACTTCCCTGCGCTTCCTTGTTTTTATTTCCTCTTTCTCTTTATCTTTTTGTCTCTCTTTATCTTTATTCTCCTCTGCTTCCTTGTTTTCATTTTCTCTTTCTCTTTATCTTTTTTGTTTCTCTTTCTCTTTATTCTCTGTCTCTTCAATATCTTTTTCCTTCTACTTCTCTTTGTCTGTCTCTCTCTCTCTCTCCTTCTCTTTCTCTTTCTCTTTCTCTTTCTCTTTCTCTTGCTGTTGGTCTTTCTCTGTTTCTTTTCCTCTCTTTGTTTCTCCTTCACCTCTCTCTTTTTTCTTTTCTTTCTGTTGCTGTTAGTCTTCCTCTGTCTGTCTCTCTCTCTCTCTCGCTCTCTCTCTTCTTTGTTTTTTCTTTTTTTTTAATCTCTCTCCCTCTCTATCTTCTCACTTTCTCTTGTTCGTTCACCTTTCTCTTCTTCGTTCACCTTTGTCTCTTTTTCTCTTTCATTCTTCGTCTCTTTCTCTGTCTCTCTTTCTCCTGCCTTCGCCCCCCCCTCCCTCCAGCAAGCATAGGCTAACCCCACACCTCACATTCCATACTCCCCCCTATGCTTTGACCCCAATTCTCTAACCACCTAATAAACCGACCTTCCTGATACAACCCAAACCAAAAGCACTACCTACATCCACCACCTTACCACAATCCTGACCCACAAAAACCGAAAGCACCAGCTAACCCCACACCTCACATTCCATACTCCCCCCTACACTTTCACCTCATTTCTCAAACCGCCTAACACTTCAACCCTTAAATCCCACAAAACACAAAGCACCTCCCAAAACCAATGCAACAATCCCGAAAACAAAGCAACCTACCAAACCCAATACAACAATCCAAAACACAATCCAAAACCCAAAGCACCTAAACAAATCCTACCCTCAACCATAAAATACCCAATATCCTAACATGAGGTGTGGGGTCAGCGACCCTTATGGACAAACCCCGCGCCTACACCAAGAATCTTACCTAAGATACTAAGCATTCCCCAAAGCCACGTCGCAATCGAAATTCAATCCTAAATCCTGACCACTAGCTAAATCCCGAATTTCCTTTGACAAAAAGCCATAGCAACCAACTCCACAAAACAAAGAACACATTCAAAAAACTCGAAGACTTCAAGTATGTCGTTGGCCTCATCGCCATTGGAAGTGGCCAGACCCAAATGGTGCGCCCTGCGTGTTTCTTGGCCTGCAACCCAGAGATTGGTTTTGAGCTCGCCTAGCTTTGCTGGCTGGATGAATGCACTTGCCGTGAACGTCCGCAGTCCCTGTTTACATCAAGACCGCGTTTTGCCCAATGAGACGCTGCCAAGCTCTGACGCTGCTTACCACCAGACAGCTATGGCAGCAACAGCCTGCGTTGCCTGCTCGATTCCCCGTCAGCGCCGGGGTACGGAGAATTTCCTCGCCATTATCAGTGAGATAGATAACAAGGACCTTCGCCTTGCAGCTCTGACAGCTTTGTTGAAGGAGCGTGAGCAGAGCCAAGCTCGTGTCGACAAGGAGCGTGAAAAGAGCGACATTTATGCCAAAGAGGTCATTGAAAGCCTGCGACGTGATGTTCTACGCGCCAAGGGCCTGATGACAGCCCGCGGTGTCTTTGTGAACGTGTTGGACAGCTTGTGTTTAACGAACAACGATGCAAGGGTAAGTTCAACTGCACCACGGGAGTGCTTCAAGCCCTCTCGAGCCCCTCTGCCGGAGAGTGGTCCCAGTTCCTGTTCGACACCATACAGGACTGCAAAGACCCTGGTGATGACGTCAACAAGGCGGCCACCAAGGTGTGGCAGCAGCTTTCGGATCAGACGCATGGCCAGGCGTGGTCTGGCATCGAAGTGGAAGTTCTGGGCCCTCTCGATGAAGTCGGTAGATGCGTTATAGCGAAAATATGTGCGAAAATGGGGCTTCCACATACACAGAAGTCCGCCTCCGTTTGATTTGGCTCAGAATTTTGTGAGCATAGGCTAGATCGTGTGGATATCGCAGTCAAGCCGACCACAAGTTGTAGTTTCTGCGAGAGTACTTGCAGGCACAGCGGCTACATTCTGAACACACAAATTTCAGTCATCTGGCTACAAAGCACAGTCGGGAAGGCGTAAGACGATATCCCACTCAACAACTTCCAAACAGCAGTTGTACAGGCATTTAGAGATCCCTCACGAGAGGAGCCAAAAACGTGGTTCGAAGTGATTCTGTGCACACATGTAGACCTGTAAACTGGCCGACTTAAACCTGCCACCGTGCGCGCGACAGGCGAGGAAGACAACGACAACGGCGAGTTCAACGCAAGTGGTCCCGCTGGGTTTAGGGTTTTAGTTTAGGGTTTTAGGTTTTACTTTAGGGTCAGGGTTTTTAGTTTGAGCTTTAGTTTAGGGTTAGGGTTTTTTTAGGTTTTAGTTTAGGGATAGGGTTTCTAGTTTAGGTTTTAGTTTAGGGATAGGGTTTTTAGTTTAGGTTTTAGTTTAGGGTTTTTAGTTTCGGGTTAGAACAACCATCCCAGAACTGGGAGCGAACAAGGAGGAACACGACTGTTTAACAGTCAAAGCATTGCGATGGCATCAGAAGTGTGCGTGTTAGGGTTTTTAGTTTCGGGTTAGGGTTTTCAGTTTAGGAGAAAGATGAGAGGAGATAAGAAAGACATTTCGGCTCAAACATACAATGCATATAATATACAAATATATTATATTTATCGTTTTTCACACCTTCAATAATTCGTGGCGCAAATAACCTCGTTTATCGTCATTCTCCAAATAATAATAGTTTTGACCTAACTTTTTATCTATTCGCTTCACTGTTTGGGGGGTTTTAACCCAATGACTGGTGCGTTCTTTTTCACTAATCCCTTTCTTACGCATTATTTTAACCCTATCGCCCACCTCTACCTCGGGGTATGTTCTATGGCGTTTTGCCTGTAAAGATATATTTAATTTAACTTCAAATTCATTTTTCTTCTTCCTTGCTTCTAATGGGGTCATTTTAGTCGCAGACGAAACCATTTTATTATTGTATGTTAATAATATCTCCAAATTATAATCTATCCACTGGATATTTTCCTTACCCTTTTTTTCATCTGCTTCAACCCGCTTAAACAGCATATCTTTATATGTTCTTATAAAACGCTCCGCAAACGCTGGATGACCTCGTGTTCTATGTATCTCAATTTTCTCACCTTCTAAATATTCTACAACCGTTTTACTATACAAACTCCCTTCTTCATCACTGTAAAACATCTTGGGTTTATCGCCCATTTTTTGTAGTCCTTCCATTATTCCTGCCAACATATCTGGTGGTTCTTTGCTCTTAATAGGTATAACTGTAGCATATTTACTAAAAATATCAATTAAAACTAATCCTATTCTAAACTTTTGATTTTCTAAGTCTTTAGTGCTGATAAAAAACAAATCCACCTGATATTCAAAATGTGCGTGAGGTGCTACAAAACTATTCTCGCCACGCGGTTTGCGCTTTTCTTCAACATTCTTCCTAAAGAACTCCTCAACATCCTCTTTCGTAATACTTTTATCTTTTTCTCGGGCATCTTTCAGCGTAGTCGCCCTACTCCCAAAGCCCGAGCGGTCGTAATAAATATCATTAATGATTTTTTGTTTATTTGTAGGGTCTGCGACCCTAGCGCTTTGTTGTGCGGAACTCATATAAATAACAATATATTTTTTTATTTAATGGACCGATACATTACAGTAAACGCAATAAGCACAGCAATTGTCTAAACGATGCCCGTAATCATTACATAGACGCTGTGCTGTAAAGTTGCTACATAATTGGCCTTGTTTAGTTTCAAAATTGAATGCTGTATTACATTTCTCGCACCTGCTCTTAAACATTTTCAAACACCATTCGGGGGTTATGTATTCCTCATCGTTTATTTCTCTCCCTGCTTTCCTGTCTTGTAGCTTGTAATTCTCCACCTTGTTTTTAAAGTATCTCATTATCATGTTTTTATCCATTTGTTTATCAAAACTTGGATTGGAATAAGACCTGACTTTTCTAAAATCAACACAGCGTGTGATTGAGGTCCAAACCCACTCCCTGCTTGCTATTGGTAAGTTGTATTCGTGTATAGTTATACTCCCCTTTACACTCGCTCCCTGACTTGAATGACAGGTGGCGCAGTATGAATATATAACGTTATTATCAACGACCGCTTCAAACAGCATAAACTCATCTTCATCATTCGCTATGTTCTGTAATGTTATTTGCGCTCCGAGTTCGTCGTGCTCTATGCTCGTAATCCTATACCGCAGATTTACGTTTACCCTTGGTTGTTTAATCCATTTTCTTGCAATGAGTATTTCGCCCACTTCGTATTTATCTTTCTTGTTTAACCTGTTTCTAATCTCGTTCGCTACATTGCGGCATCTTATGTTAGTGTAGGCGATGTTATGCTCCGATGCCATTATGTCGTCAGTCGTTTCA